GAAAAAGGGTGAAATGTAACAGACTGGCTTGAGTTAAAAATAAAAATGGCTCCAAAGCTCTAAGCCCAGGGGGAGAAGAAAGAGAAATAATATCATTAAATAGGCAAGGAAGCCAGAATTTTACTTTTAAGCAACCTTTGCTTATTCTGCTTTCCATAAGTCACCTAGAGCACCTTCAATGATCTTCAAGTGGCTAATCCCTAATTTCCCTTCATTCAATATAACTCTGTTTTAGAATAATCCTAAAGTGTTAAATCTAGGTTCTATACACCCAGGGCACCAGAGTTTGTAGCTAGTTTTTTTGTTTTTTTATTTTACTCTTTTTCAGGTCAAATGTTGTTCACTGAGAAGTCCCCTGTGACCTCCCCGAGCCCAAGACACACTCAAGCCTTCCTTCCACCAGCCTCCATTTCACTCTCTTTCAGTACCTGGGGTAGCTAAAGCTCTACAAGGCCCTGCCTCAATCCTAGGCTTGTGTAAACTGGGCAGGAGTCAAGAAGGCCATGCCCCCTTTGGTTGTCCTTTTGACAGCAAAGAAGCCTGTGGGCAATGTAGAACTGGAAGACAGCCACCTGCAAGACTATCTCCACTTCTGCTGTCACCGCCAAAAGAAATTCCACTATCGAATCATGGTCCTCTAAAAGCTCTGTGCTAATCGATGAAGTGGCTCCACTTTTTCTGAGACAGTGGAATTTATACAAATTGAAATGCATGGCCCATTTATAAGGCATAACGTGCATGATACAAGTAAGACTTTTACTATAATGACACTAGAAAATAAGACTGCTACTCCATTGTTCCACTTGTTAGAACTACTACTACCTCTAGAGTAAAACTCATTAGAAAAGTTACTAGAAGCCTTCAAAAAGATACTCTGAGGATCCAGGGGACAGAAGTACACACTCTTTCACTACATTAAAAATATCTAATGACTGAAGCACATTAAGGAGTTGCCCAAATATTTCACAGAAACAATTTAATTCCTCTCCTTTTTCTACAGAGTAAAGAAACTCTAATATATGGTTTCTGATCATACCTTGAATAGAACTCTTAAGCCCCATTACTACCAATCAGTTATATTAATCTTATTATATGGATTCATTAAATAAATATCAAGGGCAAGAATGGACTAGACTATAAGCAGAAATCACATGAAATGCAAAAGTAAAACACTATTGTGATAAAGACATGCTAAATGCATTTTAAAGGTAATGACCTTAGTTGAGAGAGGGAAGGATTCCCCCAGGAAAAACTGATGAAATCTGGATCTGTAGGAGAAAAAGAGAGCAAAAGAGTTTTCCTGGCGGAAAGAACAGCATATACAAAAGACTTATTGTAGGAAAAAACAAAAATCTGGAGGTACATGGCCAGATCTCATGGGACCTGGCAGGCCATAGCAAGGCCCTTAAACCAGAGCAATGAGAAGCCCACTTTTTGAGGATTTATTTTTTTTATGTATGTATATATGTTTGTATTTTTTGTTAATCCTCATGCGAGGATATTTTTCCATTGCTTTTTAGACAGTGGGAGGGAGTGGGGGGGGGCACACATCAGTGGGTTGCCTACTGCCCAACCCTGACATGGGCCAGGATCAAATCTGCAACCCAAGTATATGCCCTTAGCTGGAATCAAACCCAAGACCCTTCAGTCCACAGGCCGAAGCTCTAACCACTAAGCAAAACCAACCAGGGACCTTTTGAGGATTTTTAAGCAGTAATATTCATATTGAGAAGTAATCACCCTGCCTGCTGTTGTGAGGGAGTGCTAGAGGAGGAGACACTATGGTGGACCAGTGAAGAGGCTACTGTAAACTTGAAGCAAGGATGACTGCACCAGTAGTGAAAGTGAGAGAAAATGGAAGCATTTTAGGGTATGAAATAAAGATGGACAACATTAAGTGATGGACTGGACTGGGAAGAGTGCAGAAAATGAGGAAAATGCCAAGGAAGTTGCCTAGGTTTATGTCTAATGCACCCAAAAGGGTCTTGGGTTAGAAAATTCTAAAAAAGAGACGAGTTTTTTGGAAGGGAATTGTGTTTGAGTTAGACATGCTAAGTTTGAAGTGAACCTGACAAAGACGACAAGGTCTTCACTCAATTAAGTATGTGTTTTAGGAGACTTCCGGTCAAGATGGTAAACACTGTATCGCTTCCTCCCACAACCACATCAAAGTTACAACTAAACTACAGAACAACCATCATTCAAAACCGCCTGAAATCAAGCTGAATGAAGTCCTACAACTACGAAATTAAAGCAGCAGCCACATCCAGACTGGTAGGAGGGGCGGAGGCGATAGGGGTGGCGGCGCAATGGGCTGGTCCCACACCCAAGAGTGGCAGATAAAAATCAAGAGGCTCGCTCGGCTGGGAAGATCTTTCCTGAGGACTGAGGGGTCCCCGTCCCACACCAGGTGCCCCGTTCAGGGTTCCAGTGCCAAGAAGAGAAGTCCCCATAACTTCTGGCTGGAAAAACCAGCGGACACTGAGGCTCAGGGAAGCTGGCGGCTGGAGCCCTAGGCAGCTCCCTAAAGGGCCCGTGCGCAAACATATCGGACTCTCTCCCTCTAAACTTGGAGGGGAGGCAGCTCGAGGGGCACCAGAGTCATACAGGGAAGAACTGAGCTGTTTGGCACTGGAGCGAGGGCTGGAGAGGGGGCTTCCTCGGGGACAAACGTGCTGTCAGAGGCCTTTGTTCCTTTGGTGAGCCCTTCCCTGGAGCAGCAGATAGTCGCCATATCTGGGACTCCAGCAACCTGGCTCACAATGGTAGGCCCGCCCTGGTGACTCCTGAGGCCCCGCCCTGCCCCACACAACTTTCAAGCCCACCCAAGCTGTTGCCACTTGCTTAACCATAGGATTGGCCTGTTTTGGATCCTGTTTCAGGTTTCTCCTAAATTCTTTCAAACGAGCAGCATCTGGTCTCAGCGAGCCCCATACCTCTCATTAAGTAATACACTGAAACAAACACAGGGAGGCAGCCAAAATGAGGAGACAAAGAAACAGGTCCCAAATGAAAGAACAGAACAAAACCCCAAGAAAAGAACTAAGCGAAATGGAGATAAGCAACCTAACAGATACTGAGTTCAAATACTGCTTATAAGGATGCTCAATGAACTTAGTGAGAACGTCAGTGAACTTAGGGAGGGCCTCAAGAGCATAAAAAAGGACCAGTTAGAAATCATGGATACACAGTTAGAATTGAAGGAGGCCTTAACTGAAATAAAGAATAATTTACACAGCTTCAATAGTAGAGTACGTAAATCCAAGGAGCAAACCATCAATTTGGAATATAAGGAAGCAAAAAAATGCCCAATCAGAACAGCAAAAAGAAAAAGGAATCCAAAAAAATGAGGATAGTGTAAGGAGCCTCTGGGACAACTTCAAGCGTGCCAACATTCGCATCTTGGGGGTGCCAGAAGGAGAAGAGCGAGAACTAGAAATCCAAAGCCTGTTTGAAATAATAATGGCAGAAAACTTTCCTAACTTGGTGAAGGAAACAGACATACAAGTCCAGGAAGCACAGAGAGTCCCAAACAAGATGAACCCCAAGAGGCACACACCAAGACACATCATCAAAAAGCAAAAGGTTCAAGACAAAGAGAGAATCTTAAAAGCAGCAAAAGAAAGGCAGGTAGTTACCTACAAGGGAGTTCCCATTAGGCTGTCAGCTGATTTCTCAAAAGAAACTTTGCAGGCCAGAAGGGAGTGGCAAGAAATATTCAGAGTGATGAAAAGCAAGAACCTACAACCAAAATTACTCTATCCTGCAAAGCTGTCATTTAGAATTGATGGACATATAAAAACTTTCTCCGACAAGAAAAAGTTAAAGGAGTTCATCACTACCAAACCGTTATTATATGAAATGATGAAGGGTCTTTTTGAAGAAAAAGATAAAATGTATGAACAAACAAAATGGCAATGAATACATATCTATCAACAATGGAATCTACAAACAAAATGAACAGGTAGAACAGAAACGTTCTCATAGATACAGAGAACATTTTGTTGGTTGCCAGTTGGGAAGGGGGTTGGGGGAATGGGTGAAAAAGGTGAAGGGATTAAAAAGTACAAATTCATTGCTAGACTGACAAACCTCAAAGGGAAAGGGGTGGGAAGAAATAAACCAAAGAACTTATATGCATAACCAATGGACACAGACTATAGTGTGGGAAAAGGTGGGAGGGGGGCGGGAGTGGGGAGGAGGGGGTCAATGGCGGAAAAATGTGGAACATCCAAATACATTTTACATCCAACAATAAAGATTAAAAAAAAAAAAAATGTATGTGTTTTATTTGGTTAATGCCCAAAATATCTTTAAATAGTAAATGTATAATTGAGTGGAGGGCAGACATGGACCAAAATACAGATGTCAAAGAATCTGAGTAAGGGGCAGAGGACCTAAATAGATACCTCTCCAAAAAGGACATACAAATGGCCAAGAGACATATGAAGAAATGTTCAACATCACTAATTATCAGAGAGATGCAAATTAAAACAACTGTGAGGTATCACCTCACACCTGTCAGAATGGCCGCCATCAACAAATCATCAAACAACCAGTGTTGGTGAGGGTGTGGAGAAAAGGGGACTCTAGTACACTGCTGGTGGGAATGAAGATTGGTGCAGCCACTATGGAAAACAATATGGTGTTACTTCAAAATATTAAACAATGAACTTCCATTTGACCCAGTGATCCCATTTCTAGAAATATATCCTAAGAAACCTGAAACACCAATCAGAAAGAATATATGTACCCCTATGTTCACAGCAGCACTATTTACAATAGCTAAGATCTAGAAAGAACCCGAATGTCCATAAGTAGATGAGTGGATAAAAAAGCTGTAGCTCATGGACATAACGAAGTACTATGCAGCTGTAATAAAGAAAGATCTCTTATCCTTTGAGATGGCATGGAAGGACCTGGAGAGTATTATGCTAAGCAAAACAAGCCAAGCAGAGGACAACCTGCTCATCATCCTGCTCATCAGGCTGGACTCTCACCTGCACATGCCCATGTACTTCTTCCTCAGACACTTGGCCTTCTCTGACATCTGTCTTTCATCTGTCACAGTCCCAAAGATGCTCGTGAACATGCAGACTCGGTGACAATCTCCTATATGGGATGCATTTTTCAGATGTATTTTTTCATATTTTTTGCTGCTCTTGACAATTTCCTTCTGGCAGTGATGGCATATGACAGGTACGTGGCCATCTGTCATCCTCTGCACTACACCACCATCGTGTGGGAGGGGCTGTGCACACTGCTCGTGTGTGGCTCCTGGATTCTCACCCGTGTCCGTGATTTGTTGCACACCCTCCTCTTGGTCCAACTGTCCTTCTGTGCTGACATCACCATCAACCACTTCTGTGATTTCACCGCACTACTGAAGCTGAGCTGCTCAGACATCTCTCTCAATATGCTTGTGATCTTTACAGAGGGAGGATTTCTTTACCGTCTGCCTTTGAGTATTGTTTTGGCTCATATATCCATATAGGGACCATCATCCTGAGGGTGCCCTCCACTAACAGAATCGTTCAAGTCTTTTCTACCTGTGGCTCCCACCTCTTTGTAGTGTCTTTATACTATGGAACACTTGCAGGTGTTTACTTTTTTTCCTCATCGTGGGATTCCAAAGACATAATTGCTTCGGTCTTGTATGCAATAGTTACCCCCATGCTGAACCCTTTCATCTACAGCCTGAGGAACAGAGATATAAAACAGGCCTTAGAAATGTGTGTCAATAGGGTTAATTTCTTTAGGCGGCAAACACAAAATCCTCCTGTTGCAGTCAGGAGCACAGTGAGATATGTCTCCTAAAATTACCTTAAAGTTGACATCTCCATTAACTTTCATAGAATATCCTATATGTTGTCATGTATAAGTGTTGTTATAAGTACTCTAGGTCACATTTGCTACCTGGATTGGTAATAATTTTTTATTCCTAATTGATATTTTTCACTTGTCTATCATCTCTTATAAGATATGTACAAAATCTTATGCAAAACATGTTGCACAATTATATATAAAAAAAACAACAACAAGCCAAGCAGAGAAAGACAAATATCACATGATCTCACTTATTTGTGGAATATAATGAACTAAACAAACTGATGAACAAAACTGACCCAGAGACACAGAGGTGGGGTAGACTGTCATGCCTCAGAGGAGGGCGGGCTTATAGGGAAGAGATAAACCACAGAACTTATATGCATGTATGCATAAACAATGGACATAGACAACAAAGCTGGAAATAGGGCGGGGGGGTGGGTAGGAGGGTGTCAATGGGGGAAAAAGGAGAAACATCTGTAACAAAAACAAATTAATAATAAAAAAAGAAAAAGAAGTAAGTCAAGAAAGGGAAAATATGGGTGAAAGCCTTGAAGAGGCAATTCATGACTGATGGGGGTACTAAACCCTGTAAACTTTTATCACTTTAGTAATTAAAGAAATTCTTATTAACCATGAGAAAAAAAAAAAAAAAGAATCTGAGTAAGAATTACCTTTCACAGTAGGGAAAAAAATAAATAGAAATTTAAAAAGCAGCAAAGAGAAACATAGTGGGTAATCCAATTAATGGTGAGGTCAGATGTAGAACAGAATCAAAGAAACTTAATCAACAATAGATCCTTAGAAGTCACTTAATATTAACTCTTTATTAGGAGAGATATTTCTTCTACAACACTGATACATTACCCACTTTCAGTATGAATAGTTACAGTTATAATGAACTACCTTTTGTGCAGTGTTCCATTTTCAGAAGCTGCAAAATGATTTAGAGACATCCAGTCTCTACATCCCCAATCCAAACATGTTTGATTTTCACAACTCTTCTTCATGCAACATGGCTTCTAGATCCCTTAACTTTCTGGTTGCCCATCTCTAACTGGGTTAGATTCAGTATGCTTCTTAAAATGTCTGCATCTTTGTATGAGTATCATCCATTACTAAAACATAATGATGCCATAAGAATGTCACCCAAGGACAAAAAAGGACTGAGGATTTTATTTATTTATTTTTTAAATTAATTTATTTATTCATTTTTGTTACAGATGTTTCTCCTTTTTCCCCCACTGATTCCCCCCTTCTCCTCCATCCCCGCCCTGTCCCCAGCTTTGTTGTCCATGTCCACTATTCATGCATACATGCATGTAAGTTCTGTGGTTTATCTCTCCCCTACCACCCCCTCTTCTGGGGATTGTCAGTTTGTACCCCACTTCCACATCTCTGGGACTACCCCATTCCTGACTAAGGATTTTACAAACCCCTAAAAACTTACTCAGCTTTGAAGTTCTGAACTGCACTCATAAGTACCATTAGCAGTCAAACTGGTGCCGTAGGTAAACGAGGCATCACCTCCTCCTGCAACCACATCAAAATTACAACTAAACTACAACACAAACATCATTCAGAACTGCCTGAAATCAAGCTGAATAGAAGTCCTACAACTACGAAATTAAAGAAGCCACGCCCTGGCCGGTTTTGCTCAAAGGTTAGAGCGTCAGTCTGTGGTCCAGAGAGACCTGGGTTCGGTTACTGCTAAGGGTGCGTACCTCAGTTGCGGTTTGTCCCCGACCCTGGTTGGGTCGTGCGGATGGCGACCACTTGATGTGTCCCTTTCACGTCGATGTTTCTCTCTGTCTCTCTCCCTCCCACTCTATCTGAACAAGATATCAAAAAATGTCCTCAGGTGAGGATAAAAAAAAAAAAAAAAAAAGGAAGAAGCCACATCAAGACTGGCAGAAGGAGCAGAGGTGCAGAGGGGCTGGTCCTACACCCATGTGTGGTGGATAAAGATCAGGAGGACACCTCAGCTGGAAGGTCCTCCCTGAGGAGTGAGGGGTCCCCTCCCACACAAAGCGCCCAGCTCAGGGTTCCAATGCCAGGAAGAAAAGTCCCCATAACTCCTAGCTGGAAATACCAGCGGGAACTGAGGCAGAGGGGGACTGCGGCTGCAGGAACCTCAGGCAGATCCTCTTAAAGGGCCTGTGCACGGACTTACTTGACTTCCTCTCTCTGAGCTTGGAGGGGAGACAGCTTAAGGGGCCCCAGAGACAAACAGGGAAGAACAGTGCTGTTTGGCCTTGGGACGAGGGCTAGAGCGGCAGCTTTCTCCTCGACAGAGGTGCTGGCAGAAGATGATGTTCCTTTGGTGAGCCCGGACCCAGACAGCCGCCATATCTGGAACTCCAGCAACCTGGCTCACACTGTTTGCCCTGCCCTGGTGATTCTTTAAGGCCCCGCCCCATTCAACTTTCGGGGCCTACCCAAGTGGTCTCCAAAGGCTTTACCATAGGATTGGCCTGTCTTAGATACTGCTTCAAATTTTCCTAAAATCTCTCAAGCAGCATCTGGTCTCAGCGAGCCCCATACCTCTCGTTAAGTGGCCCCAAAGCCTGGCACTAGAAGCAGCCAGCCTTGGTTCACAACTTGGCTTTTCCTGGACACCTCCCAGCCCAGCACAAGAAGCAGCCATCTGCAGAGTTCACTGTAGCTTACATCGTGTGGTCCTGGATAGAACACAGCAGTGGCGAACTTTGCCTCAGAGCCAGCACACCCAGTGGACAGCTTCTGACCACATTGAAACACCACCACCCAACCACCTCCACAAGTGGCACACTCAATGAGTGGACTCAGTGGGTACCAGAGCCCTGATGAAGTAAGTCTTGTTCTGTGTGGTGGGCCCCTACACAGCTGATCCTCCAAGGCAGTTGGAGACTAGTGGCTAGTGGGCACAGCCAGTCCTTGCAGCTGATCACCGCGAGTAAATCTCTTCTATTGACGTGCCAACAGCAATCAAGACTCAATTACTTTTTTTTTTTTTTTTTTTTTTGGTATGTGCCCCTACGGAAACTGAACCCAGGACTCTCTGGTCCGCAGGCCAATGCTCCAACCGTTGAGCCAAACTGGCCAGGGCAAGACTCAATTACAACAGGAGGGTGTACAGTCCACACAAGGGGTGCACCTTGAGGGCCAAGCTGGGTTTATCAGGAAGACTGTGCCACTGGATCCTATAGGACTGTGCCTATAAGACTGTGCCACTGGATCCTATAGGACACCTACAATAGGCCACTCTACAAAACCTAGGAGACACAGCAACTCTACCTAATACATAGAAACAACCACAGGGAAGCAGCCAAACTGAGGAGACAAAGAAACATCCCAAATGAAAGAAAAGGACAAAACTCCAGGAAAATAACTAAACAAAATGGAGATAAGCAATCAATCAGATGCAGAGTTCAAAACACAGATTATAAGGTTGCTCAAGGAACTTGGTGAGACATTCAAGGGACTTAGTGAGACCTCCAAGGAACTTAGTGAGAACATCAACAACATCAAAAAAGACCAGTAAAGTCAAAGCATGAAGTGGCGAGGGACAAATGTATATAAATAAAGAATCCTACTTGCGGAAATTAATGTATCGCAGCAGAGCCTGAAACTGATTAACCACAATTAAACGAGGGCTGACTGTAACTGAAATAAAGAATAATCTACAAAGAATCAATAGCAGAGTAGGTGAAGCCAAGAAGCAAACCATCGATTTGGAATATAGGGAAGGAGAAAATACCCAATCAGAACAGCAAAAAAAAAAAATCCAAAAAAATGAGGATAGTGTAAGGAGCCGCTGGGACAACTTCAAGCGTGCCAACATTTGCATCATAGGGGTGCCAGAAAGTAAAGAGAGCGAGCAAGAAACTGAAAACCTATTTGAAACAATAATGACAGAAAACTTCCCTAACTTGGTGAAGGAAACAGACATACAAGTCCAGGAAGCACAGAGCGTCCCAAACAAATTGAACCCAAAGAGGTTCACACCAAGACACATCATCATTGAAGTGCCAAAGGTTAAATACAAAGAAAATCTTAAAAGCAGCAAGAGAAAAGCAGTTAGTTACCTACAAAGGAGCGCCCATAATACTGTCAGCTGATTTCTCAAAAGAAACTTTGCAGGCCAGAAAGGAGTGGCAAGAGATATTCAAGGTGATGAAAAGCAATGACCTACATATAACCAAGATTACTTTATCCTGCAAAGCTATCATTTAGAATCAATGGACATGTAGTTTCCCAGACAACAAAAAGCTAAAGGAGTTCACCACCACCAAACCATTATTATATGAAATGTTTAAGGATCTTCTTGAAGAACAAAAATATGAACAATAAAATGGCAATTAATACATATCTATCAACAACTGAATCTACAAACAAAATGAGCAAGCAGAACAGAAACAGACTCATAGATACTGAAAACTTTTTGTTGCTTGCCAGATGGGTGGGGGATGGGGAGATAGGTAAAAAAGATGAAGGAATTAAGAACAAATTGGTTAGACTGATGAACCTCGAAGGGAAGGGGAGAGGGAGGAGGGGATGAGATAAACCAAACAAATTCTAAGCATATATGAATAACCAATGGACACCAATAATAGTGTGGGGAAGGTGGGGGCAAGATTGGGAAGGAGGGGGTCAGTGGGGAAAAAGGGGGGACATCTGTAATATATTCAACAATAAAGATGAGTTAAAATGGTAAAAAAATAATAAAAATTGTTCAGGAACTGTACTGACATTAGTTTAAGCTTCTCTGTATGCCAACCCTTGATTAGTCTAGATCATGCATTCCCAAAGGGGATGAAATTAACAATGGTTGAAGGCTCTGTAAGAGCCACCGTATATAAGCAAATATACACAGTGTATCTGTGGTATTAAATTTCATTGAGGCCCTGGCCGGTTTGGCTCAGTGGTTAGAGTGTCGACCTGTGGACCTGAGAGTCCCGGGTTCGGTTCCTACTAAGGGCATGTACCTCAGTTGCAGTTTGTCCCTGCCCAGATTGGGGTCGTGTGGGTGGCAACCACTCGATGTGTCTCTCTCACATCGATGTTTCTCTCTCTCTCTCTCCCCCCTCTCTCCCTCCCACTCTATCTAAAGATAAATGTAAAAATGTCCTTGAGTGAGGATAAAAAAAAAAAAAAAGTTTCATTGAGGCAGGAAAGACAAGGGAGAAAAATCTAAAAAGGCCCAGGGGGCAGAAGGGAGATACCATAATGAAAAATGGTTGTGTGAAAGAAATGCTGGTCTGAATCTGTGCTGACCTATACGGTAGTTATTAGCCACAGCTGTCTATTTATTTATTTATTTATTTATTTAATCCTCACCCGAGGATATTTTCTGTTTATCTTCAGATAGAGTGAGAGGGAGGGAGAGAGAGTGAGAGAGAGAGAGAAACATCAACATGAGAGGGACACATGGACTAGTTGCCTCCCACATGACCCCGACCAGGGTCAGGGGTGAACCAAAACTGAAGTATGTGCCCTTGACTGAAATCAAACCCACCACTCATTGGTCTGCAGGCCGATGTGCACAGTGCAGATACAGAACATTTCCATCCTCACAGAAAGTTTTATTGTATAGTGCTAGTCTAAACCATTCTGAAGCATTTTACTAGGATTAATGTGTAGTCCTCAAGCATCTCAAATCCAATATATGGCCATTATTTATTTCATTACTGATTGTCTAGTCCATCTTTTTTTACTCTTGAAAACACAGTAAAGATACTGGTTCTTTAAGGGCAAACTTTAAATATTACTTAACATCTAAATTTTTCATTAGGATGCTACAGAAGAATAATGGCTGCATCATAACCACTTCAAAATATTTGTAGCCATTTGTCCTGGCCAAGAGCAGAGGTGTTCAAACTATACTAGATCCTTTGTAATCCACTGATACTAAGGTTCAGTTAACTGTTTCTTTTTTTAAAATATTTTTTATTAATTTTATTTTTTTTCAGAGAGACATAGAAACATCGATGTGAGAGAGATATATCAATTGGCTGCCTCCTGCCAGCCCCATACTGGGGATCAAGCCCACAACCCGAGCATGTGCCCTAACTGGGAATTGAACCGGGACCTCTCGGTCCATGGGATGATGTTCAATCCACTGACCGACATTGGCCAGGCAAGAAATAAAATATTTTAAGTGTAGAGACTGTAAGTTCTTTAAAAGTCAAAATTTATTAATTTATCAAATTATAAAATGACACTGAAGCACCCTACAGATTTTAATTTCTAATACATATCAAACTTTAATATCCTTCATAAACAAAAAGCTCTTTGGGATCTTCCCCTCACCCCCAAGTAAAGGGGTCTTGAAATCAAAAAGTGAGAAAATCACTGTGGCTTATCCCTAGCCACTACTGGTCCTTTTCTTGCTCTGATCTCATAAGGTGCCATTTGTGATGGAGTTACAAAAAACTCCTATGTAAGACCTTGGCTGGACTGAGTGAGGGCTTTAGTCCTTACAAA